AATATTCTGAGTGATTCCTCTGTACAGGCATTTACATAACTGTGTGAGCGCGTGTGTGTATGGGTGTATGTGTGTGTGTGTGTGTGTGTATTCATGCAGTATATTTGTGTGAGTGTGTGTGTGCATATACACAGTGTGTGTGTGTGTTCTCTGGAAGTGACCTCTCACACAAACACACACCAGCTGTTCTCTAAGCCCTGTCTGCCTCCAGATGCTGCTCTTACACAACGTCATTTTCTAATTGGTCAGCAGTAAAACTGGAGCGTGTGCTCATAGCTCCACATCAGCAGTCACATACACGCACTCATACACACGCACGCACACAAATGCACAAGCATGCATGCATGCACGTATTCACAAACACATGCAAGCACTCTCACACACACATACGTACACACACCACACTCACACACACGCACGCACACAACTGCATGCATTAACACACCCACATGCATGCATACACTCACACACACACGCACATATACATGCATACACTCACACACACAGGCATGCACATTTATACACACATGCATACACACACATACATGCAAACACAAGCATGCACACATATACACACACGCACACAAACACTGCTAAATGCTTGCACACATTCACTCAGACACACACACACGTTTTCACACTGCGCTGTTGTTCTTGGAGTCGATGATATTTTCTCTCACACAAAGATCCTGCATTAACACAGTTTACTGTGTTCATATAGCATTTACCCCATGGGGACGCTGGCTCAATGTCATTTCAGGTTTTATTATCCTTATGTGGCATTTAATGCGGTCCCCACAATACAGGCACAACCTGATCCACACATACACACATAAACAAGGCCTGACACTGAAAACCGGCAACAGCCTCACATTACACAGGTCTGATCACTTAACATCAGCAGTTTCTGTTAGGAGCAGCATCTCCTCACAACATCAACATGACTGGATTAAATCCGTGGCCACAAAGACTACGCACAATTGCAAAACAAACAAACAAAAACAAATAAATAAAATCAAACAAACAGATTTAAAAATTTGGAAAAATAACAATAAAACAAAATAAAATAAAATACAAAAAAATACAATAACAAAGAGATTTCAAAATTAAGAAAAATAAATACAATAAAATAAAACAAAATAACAAATATAGAATTAAACAAATTAGGAAAAATAAATAAAATAAATAAATATAGAATAGAAAAAAGGGAAAATAAATAAAATTAAATAAATAACAAATATAGAAAAAAATTAGGAAAAAAATAATAATGAACAAATTGAAAATTAAAAATCAGGGAAAAAAATAAAATAATAAATAAAAAAAAAAAAAATAGCAAACAAAAGAAAAAAAGAAAAAAAAACAAATATAGAATTAAACAAATTAGGAAAAATAAATAAAATAAATGAATATATAAAAATAGGAAAATAAATAAAATAAATAACAAATATAGAAAAAAATTTGGAAAAAAAAAAAATTAATGAACAAATTGAAAATTAAAAATCAGGGAAAAAATAAAAATATTAAATAAATTAACAAAAATAACAAAAAAGCAAACAAAAGAAAAAAAAACAAATATAGAATTAAAAAAATTGGAAAAACAAATAATTAAAATAAAATAAAAATAACAAACAAAAATAACAAAAAAATTTAAAAATAGAGAAAAAATAAAGATATTTGAAAAAAATTAGGAAAAAAAATACATAAATTAAATTAAATTAAAAATTTTAATTAAAAAAATCTGTACAGTT